AAACTGTACAGCGAGACCCTGTCTCAAAAAAAAAAAAAAAAAAAATTCCCTAAATTCAAAACTGAAAGGAATAAAGAACTAGAAAGGAAGTAGTGGGGAGGAATGGATAGTCTATCAATATTAATACACATTAAAAAAAATTTTGCCAGGCGTGGTGGTACACACCTGTAACCCCAGCACTCCAGAGGCCAAGGCAGGAGGATCCCCATGAGTTTAAGGCCAGCCTGGACTACGTAAGAGATCCTGTCTCAAAAAAAACAGTAACAGCTGGGCATGGTGGTACACACCTGTTATCCCAGCACCCAGGAGGCTGAGGTAGGAGGATCATTGCAAGTTCAAGACCAGCCTGGGCTACAAAGTGAGCTCAAGGCCAGCCTGAACTGCACAGCAAGACCGTGTCTCAAAAAGACAATATAAATAAATAAATAAATAAATAATCCCCCCAGTAGACCCTTCACCCCTAGTCTTTTTTTTTTGAGATAGAGTCTAAATTGCCCAGGCTGGGCTTGAACTTGGGATTTTCCTGCCTCAGTGTCTGACAGCGCTGAGATTACAGGGATGTACCCCATTCCCTGGTTACTACAAATTTCTTTTCTGTTCTTTTCTTTTCTTGTCTTTTTGAGACAGGGTCTCGCTATGCAGTTCAGGCTGGCCTTGACCTCATTTTGTAGCCCAGGCTGGTCTCAACCTTGCAACAATCCTCCTGCCTCAGCCTACAAATTTCTTAAACAAGAATGAACAAAACTAACTTCGAGGTCAAAGGTCTCATTAAATCTTACCTTAACAGTCAAGAGGCACAGGCCCTGCTCTAGTATCATAAGTTATTTAATAGTAAGTAAATTCACTTTGGTAACTTGGCTAATTCTAATTCTAGCTCTCTTTAACTTGTTTTATGTAAAATACTCTTCCCCCACCCAGATTATTTTCTATAATATGCCCCCCCCCAGTATTAGGGATTAAACTCAGGGCATCAAGCCCATGTTGGCTTCAAATTTGGGATGCTCCTGTTTCAACCTCCATATAGTAGCTGAGAATACAAGTGTGCAATACCATACTGAACAAATTTATTTTCTTTTTAAACAAAAGAAAACTAAAAGGTTAGACTAGTCTAAGAATAGTATATACCCAGCAAATATATACCACCTACACTAGAAGTATTACTGGAGGTACAGTCTACTGGAGGTATTACTAATCAATCAAAAAACACTGTCCCACAGAACACATGCAACTAGAATCCTTCTTAACACAGCGTTTCCAGCAGCTTTTCCAATCAGAGTTAGCCTACAAACTAAAATTCATTTACACTAAAACCCAAATACTAATTTTCTATGGATTGGATGAAAAAAAACTCTAATAGGCCTATATCAATACCATCAGCATCATGAATTTCAGTCCAAACTCCCAAGTTCTCTTCCAAACTGCCCCTGACCCATTTCAATCTAATTTCTTAAAGATGCTAATGAACCATTCACTCTGATACTATTAACATATATAACTTGAAAATATTAATTCAGGTTTGCTACTAGTGTTTTTGATAGAAAAGAAGCCCTTTACTCAGACTAGCTCTCAGAAAAGTCCACATCCAAAAATATAACAATACAATTACACTATTAAAAAGATACATCAAATCCTTTGATCATCCCACATCCAAGGTCAGGCTTTGTTACTTCTCACCAAGAATTCTGCAATGGCCACTCTTAACCCCTTTCATTCTTATTACCAAAGCCCTCTTTCAAAAACACATACATACATCACATTTACATCTAACAATATAAAAATTTAAAAATTTAGCATTATGCTTAGAATTCTTCATAGTTGCTTCCTTTTACCTTTCTCATGTCCCATAATGGTTTCCTTCACCACTCTATTCCTTCAACTCCTTTCCTCCACAGTTCTCTGAACTTACACACAGCAAAGGCATTAAAGTGTTTCTGCTACCTACCCTGTCCTTCCCTTTCCCCACCTCTGTCACATTCCAAATGATCATCTAAAATCAAACTTCCGGTCCACAGGCAAGTCCTGCCTCCTCCTCTGGCCAACCCACGAAGAGAACTGCCCACTTCCTCTTTTCTGTCGCAAAGCTTTTTGAAATGTCCTTTCCTATATTCACACTATTGTTTTTGCCTCAGTTTGTCCCAAGACCATCAGAATTATCTGAAGCATGTTTTAAAAATAAACTGACAGCAACCAACTTTGACTGACTAATCAACCCCAGAAATGAGACCCTGCAACTTCTACGTGTTCTCTTTACTGTCTTGGTGGTCAAATTCGTGGACCATAAAATTGTCTCTCTCCCAGTAGATGTAAAGATGCAGCTGAGCACATAGCACATGCCTATAATACCAGCACTCAGATCCTCTGGTAGGAGGATCCAGTTTAAAGCCGGCCTGGGCTACAGAGTAAGACTCTAACCACTCCCTCCAAAAAAGGCAGAAATTTACATAATATAATGAAAAAGGACTCTGCACTCCTTTTTTATTTTATAGCACACTCTCGTTCACTTATGCTGAAAACGAATTAATTTTTTGGACTTACACTCCCAAAAATGTACATTCACTGTTCAAAAAGAGAATTTCTACCTTCCTTTCTAAATCTGAAACCGGGCATTGTGGTGCACGCCTGTAATCCCAGCACTCGGAAGGCTGAGGCAGGAGGACCCCTTGCGAGGAGTTCGAGACCAGCCTGGGCTACAAAGTAAGCTCAAGGCCAGCCGGAATTACACAGTGAGACCCTATCTTAAAAAAAAAAAAAAATCTAAATCTGAGATAAATCACACCTGGAGTAAACCTGTGACTACACAGTATAGGTTCTCACCAGATTTGCCATGGGAACTTTGTTTCAGATGAGAACCAAGTCCTTTGCCAATTTTGAGAGTGGAAACAATGTCTTTACATACTTCCCTAAGACTGAATTTTGTTACAAATAGGTTCAGGAAAAACTACTTCAATGCAATGATAAGGTGGCTGGTTTGTGCACTCTAATTTTCAAAGAAAAATCCCACTCTTCTTCCCCACCCCCACGTGAAAATAAGTAAACAGGGACAGAAAACGTAACAAGCGTAGGATACAAACGCAGCCAAATCGCAAGAGCTACTGGGAAGCTGTGAATTCGGGGTACTGTGCAACTTCACCTGGCCATTTCCAACTAACTTTACGCCCACCGTCTCTACGGGGTGCACGGACCCCGTTTCCTTCTTCCGAGTCGAGGTCCAGAACCCAGTCTGAAAACTTGAGTTCTCCCTTCGTAAGTCATGCCCGCGTCATGTCTGGACACTTTCAATAGTTCACGGCTACTTTTAGCTCCTCTGTGCTACAGAAAAAGACGCTCGCGGCAGGAAGGGCAGTGACAGCTCCACGTCCGCAGCGCCGCGCCGCGCCGAGCCCCGCACGCGGGGGACAATGGGCAGGGCGGGCAGTGGCCGCGCGCGGAGGC